CCTTAGTGGAATGACGACGGCTATCATGTTTTCCCGCCAAAATGACGCTGGTTCTCGCGCGTGCACTGCTTAGTATTGAGAAAATCTCGTTCTCGGACTGTGTGCTGGTCTTAGAATCTTAAGGTTTCTGTGAACATCGTTTTTCTTCTCAGCCCCTGCCAAACCTGAAAAACCCACTGTGGAGGGGACCGGTGCGGATAAAGTGAAAGTTACTTACAACTTTGGTCTTGGTGGAGGCTATACGCACGACTTCCTGGTCATGTACCGAAGGAAATGTAAGCATTCTGTCTTGTAAGGTTTTTCTATCTTATTTAGTGTGTGGGGTAACCGTTCAAATGAATTCTCGTGGTGCCATTTGTGCATCAGCATTTGCAAAATGAAATTTGGAACCTGTTTTTTTTTGCCATTATTAGGAGTGAAAAGATCTCAGTTAACCGACTCAGTCTACTCTCACTTAAAAAGCAGTTTTCCTTACGTGATAATTAACTCTCCTTATTACCTTTTCTCTCGATAGTGTATTCGTATGATATTGTTGAGAAAAAAATTGATGTTGGTCACTCAAAGTTGATGAATCCTTCTTTAAGACGGACACAAACCCATCTTTTTATTTATTTTGTAGTGGATGGAGAAGCCTTTCAGAACACGAGTTGGGTAGATCATTTTGAAAAGCAGAGCATCGAGATTGGAAGCTTAAGTAATGAGCTTTACGAGTTTAAAACTGTTGGCAGAAATGATTATCCGGAAGATAATGATGTCAATACAAGAACAGAGAGCCCCGCCAGTGACGTCACGGAGGGACGGCCTCTTCCAGGGATAGTCAGTAAGTATCGGACTTCACTTCTTAGGGCTTAAAATAACGGTCGGTCAACGGACAATATCTGGCGAAAATGACCGTTTCTCCGAACAAACTTTCAGTTGGCCGGTTCATTTGTCAAGTGACAAGTGAACATGACCGGCCACTGTCCAAAAATTATTTTAAGCCCTGACTTTTGGAACAAAATGCCGTGGGGATAGTCTGTGTGCAGACCCTCCTCCCCCCTCCCCTCCCCCCTCAAGTGTAATGTATTTTGTATCCTCGCAATTTTTCTCGCATTAACTGAGATGGCCAGACCTTTTAACTACCCATGTTAAGATGAAAATGAATTCCACGTCTTTACAAATATCTTTCAGGCGGCCAGCGGTCAACAACTCCTATCCACCAGACTGCCTGGTTTATTGCCCTGCTGGTTCTTATCGCCGTTCTGTTGATTGTGTTGGTTATATTTGTGCTTTACACGCGGCATCAAGGAGCTAAATATCCTGGTAAGATCAAATCGTGCCTTCTATCATTACAAAGAAAACTTTCGCATGGAAATTTGTTGGTTATTCAAAGACTGTAGCCTACGTCACAGACGGAAATAAACTTCTGGTTAACGCCGTCTGCGAAACACGCCGAAATCCTTGTCCTTGGCCCGCAGCTGTATACCAGGACTTGAGTACGCGCCGTGATTAGCCTGTTAAGAAAGCCATTGTAAATTCGCCAATCAGGTTGAAGGGAAATTCGAAACGCATTTCCCGTAATTTCTTGTGTCTTTTAGGGGCCGAGAACAAAGATAGTGGCGCTGCCTCGCAGAGGCTACTTGACCAGGTGTTAGGTTAGGTCTTCGTCGCAGGCAAAAAGACTTTCACGTATGCAGAAATGTCATTGGATTCCAGTCTCCCTCTTCTTGCGTCTTAGCACTCGTCTTGTTCTGCCAACCATTTCTCTTATTCATTTCTTTAATGTATTAACGCTGTTCAGAGTCACTTCTGGCGCTTATAAAGAAACTGGTTTTCAACGTAACATTTGTCGAGCAAGTAAATTTGCCGCGACATAAAATTTACTCATAAGTAGTGTGCTTTATTGGAGTTCTTTGATCTTTTAGCCATGAAATCGATCTTTTCTGCTTTCCTTTTTAGTCGGCAAACGTGAGAAAAAGCGTGCAGCTCTAATTGATCATGAACCGCCGTTCGATGAAGAAGAAGGCGATGGAGGGTAAGAAAGCGTCAACCGTGTTTCCTTAGAGGGCACAAAACAAAAATTTTAGATGAGTAAAGAGAAATCTCGGGATATACCTCTTGCAAAATTGCCATGTAGAGACCCTATAGTCAAATATGACAGCCTTGACCACATGGTAACGTTATATGGTAGCCTGTCATGAGGTACCATCCACCAAGGTTGTCGATAGAGACCTTTAGATTCTAAGACGACTGCGAGGACAAGATTCTCTCAGGTACTGGGCACGCTTGAACCAACGTCGTTTTGGCGGGAAAACGTGGTAGCCGTCGTCGTTTAACTACAGGTTTTAGCGAGGATTTCTTAGTGGCGGAAGCAAGTTATCAACAGTTAAGCGTTTGATTATTTTGCGATCACTGGAGAGGGCTTAATCTCCTTCGGTAAAAACAACCGTTTAAGCGTTTAGGGTGAAACACGTACAATGAAGCCTTGCGGGAAGTATACTTTTTGAGAATACGCGAAAAAAACTATAAGTTGTATAAAATCTTGTCGCGTAGTCGTCCTTTTCCTCGAATCGAAAGATCTCTAACTTACGCAACAGGACGGGAGAGGAAAGAAGACGGCAAACCTTGTGTTACAAGCGTGATAACAATTATGTTTGAAAGGAGTTTCCGCAGAACTTCACCTTTCTTAGAGCGGATCTTTTTGTAAAAGACTAGTAAACATTGACGTTAAGTGAAGATGACGACAAAACACGCAAGTAATAGCCCTGTCAGTCTTGTCAGACACAAACGTCTTGCTGTTTTCTTCTTTGTGCCACCACTCACCAATAACAGGGAAGCCGGGGCACAGCCCTGGTAAGCCGGCGATGAGGTGAAAGAACCCCTGGGAAATCAGCCTTGATGTTTTAACCCTTTCACTGCCAGAGTGTTTGATGGAGTTTTGTAAGGTGACTCTAACTTTTGAGTGTGTGGACGAAATCCTATGAAGTGACCACTCAAATGAAACCTCTCTGCCTGTACTTTCACATGATGCTATTTGTTTCTCAAAATTTTAAAAAATGAAATTTGGAAATTTGGTAGGAATTTGCCTTTGGCCACATTTGGCAGTGAAAGGGTTAAATATCTGATATAAGTTTTGTTCGCTTCTCCAGCCGAACGGAAAATCCGCCACCCTATCAGAGCCAGGGGTCACTACAGAGGAGCCCAGAAAGTGACCGCGACAGTTTGGACGATTATGGCGAGGGGCCTCAATTTAACGAAGATGGCTCCTTCATTGGAGAATATGGCGACGAGAAGAAGAATGCTCCGGACGAAAAGGATGACTCAGCTTTGGCGACATTCGTTTGAGTGTTGCGTATCCTTAGCTCTTCGTGTGGTATACTGACCTGTAGTGACCCACGCATTGGGCTTTCACACGGTGAAGAATCCTGCAGAACAGGAACCACGTATTTTTTCGCGTTTATCAGGCGAGCGGAGGCAAGCGCGAAGCGAGGGAGGAGCGCAAGACAAGCGCGACGGGAGAAGGCGCCAAAA